ACCACCAAGCGGACCGCTTTTTTCTGCAACCTGTGGATTTTTGAGATCAGATAGTCAAATGTCCCCCCATATACTGGGAGCATGTATCTAACATGAGACTCCACTAACGCTAAGTAGACGGATCTCCTGAGCGATACAGAACAGATACGTCCCATTTGCGAGAGGACGGCGATACCAGATCGGAGTCTAGAGCAGACGCTCTCGGTATGCGACCTAAAACTCAGATCGGCATCCATCTGGAGGCCAAGGAATCGGTGACAGGCTACTCGCTCAATCGTAGGACATAGGCACTGAGGGCTGGCGCGGCAATGAGACGCATGAATACGAATCGGAGAACCCACGGGCTGCCTCCCGAATCGGATGAATTTCGTCCTTGAGGCATTCAAGGTCAGGCCATTCCGCCTCATCTATTCGTTGACTGATGGCGCGCGAGGCCTGAAGTGATAGCTGATAGGGATCACTGTGCGACAGTAACAGCGTGGTGTCATCTGCGAATGAGATCACCGTGCCGCCCAGTTCCTCGGAGAGCAGATCGTTGAGAAATAATGAGAAGAGGATGGGGGCCACGTTTGAACCCTGTGGAACGCCACCTTGGATGCATTGTGGAAGGCTGACGACCCCTTGGTGTCTTAAGACTTGTCTGCGGCCACGGAGGTAGGAGCACAGGAGATCGTACGAGGGCCCGTTGAAACCCAGTATCGAGAGTTTAGCCAGGAGGAGAAAATGGTCGACGGAGTCGAAAGCCTTGCTTATATCGCAAAAGATGACGATCGAGCTGAGGTCTTGGTCAGACGCGATGACTAGTCGTTCGATCAGCCTCAGAGCCGCATCCTCACAGCTTCTCCCGCTCCGGAAACCAAACTGATTATCACTCAGCATCCCATTCGATTCGACATAATGAGTGATCTGGTTCGTCATGAATGATTCAACAATCTTGTTGGTGATAGGGAGGAGAGAAATAGGCCTGAAGTTCGAGATGGCTGAGAGCGATCCAGCTTTGTGGATGGGATGCAGCAGGGCCGTTTCAAGAGCCTCGGGATACGAACAAGACTGGAAGATCGAAGGTGTCAGATTGTGGATAGGATTTGCGAGGATGTACGAGCATTTACTGAACATACGGCCCGGTAGTCCGTCGATTCCCCCACTCTTTCTCGGGTGACTGTAGTGACTCTCGATCGAGGGAGCATCTCCGTAACCCAGCTCTAGTTCCAGAAGGGAGTGATCGGAGACCCCCATCGAGTCCGTCACCGAAAAATCTCGCATCGTAAGTTGTGATAATCTGGCGAAAGCATGATCGATTAGGGTTGCCGAGTTGCCGCAGACACGGGTAGGGGTATTGTCATTCGGAGTCTGGAATCCATGAGAGCACAGCATCTCTCGGTACGCGTCGGCCAATTAAGTTCGGGAGAATAAGCAGATATTGAGATCGCCAACGAGCACGCTGTCTGCCACTTTCTTGAGTTCTCGAATGATCTCCACCATATCATAGGTTATGAAGATGCACAGGTCCGAGACGCTCTCACTGGGTGAACGATATATGCAGGCCATGCGCAGCTTAGACTTACCGACCATCACCTCGACCAGTGCCAGATCACATGCCATCACTCCCACCGCAACCTTGACCGACGGGAAATCGTCCCTGATCAGCACCGCCACACCTCCCGCTCTGTATGAATCATTGGATGTGAAATGGGCTGTGAAGCCCGGCAAGGAAATAAGTTTCTCAGAGTTGGAATACAACCAGGTCTCGGTCAATACGACCACATTTACTTCAGGGTTGAGTAGAGTACTGATGAACATGTCAAAATTACATTTGGAGCCGAAAATGTTGATTCCTGTCAAATGTCGGAGTAGGATCATGCCAGCCCGACCGTAACTGTATCTGTGTTGAATCGGTAAATTATAGAGTGGTAGTACATAAGTCAACAGAGGGAAAACATATCTCTACTTATCCTAGAATAGATTCGAAGAATATGATTGAATAGTAACAGTTGTTTGATGGCCGTTGCTGACGACCGGATCAATTTGTGCTCACGGAGCGACGGTGATTCATTGGAGGCGTTGGATGTCTTCTTCGCATAGGATGATGGAGACTGGACTATCTTTGTTCTTCTTCACACAGAGCTTCCCAGCTTGACTGATCCAACAAAATTCATAGTTTAGCGCGGCTTTCTTCTGCATTGTTAGCCTACTCAGTCGCTTCAACTCACGTGGAACTCTCCTCGAGACGTATATGGGGAGTGCTTGCCGAACTCTGGTGGAGATCATTTTGGTGTCGAGTCCGCTCTTTGAGATCCTATGAGCCTTCATTGAGGCCAAAAAGTTCTCGCATAAGTAAGGATGACAGAACTCGGCGATAATCGTTTGGCTTCCATAACCGTCCTTTTCCTTCGGGCGACCACCTCGATATGCTGAATACAAGGCTTCTTCAGTTAAAGCCATACCGGCCGTTTTCGCAAGGCGCATCACAACCTCCTCCTCGGGGATTTTCGGTTCAGTCAGCATACGCACTATCTCCACCTGGTTCCTGGAGGCGGAGGTTTCCAGCTGGAGGAGTCTGGTTTTGAGTAGTCTGTTCTCATTTCGGAGAGACGTGAGCTCTTTAACGAGCGGGTCGATTCTGCTGTCCACGTGCGTGTTGATTTCACGAGTGATCTCCTTGAACTTAGCATCAAGCAGGCTTTTCAATTGATCCAGCTGTACACTATCAAAACCTCCCATTTCTTCTGACAGGCGGAACTTGACTCACACACTCTAACTTGAGAATTTTCCAAATTTCACAGCAACGGTCTCGCGGACACGTGCTTACTACTCAACGGATGAACGCAATTCCGAGAATCGACTGTTACTGCGCTCATGCGACACTCCCATTCCGATTTCGACGGAGGCAGTTTCCGGTACATGACAACTCGATGCCGACAAGTCGATGCCGGATAACTCGATGCCGGGACAAGTCGATGCCGGGACAACTCGATGCCAGACGAATCGATGCCGGACAACTCGATGCCGGGACAACTCGATGCCGAGACTAGTCGATGCCGGACGAATCGATGCCCAGGCTTCCGAGCTTTCTGTTCCGTTGAGGGTGGCGCCTTTCGCCGAACTACGTGTAGCTTCAACAGCTTCTGGCTGTTCACCCTCTTTGAAAACATCCTCATTCTGCGGCGTCTCGGCTTCGTCATTTGTAGCATTTCCATCTGTTTTCTCTTCTTCGAATATTCTTTTCTTCGGAAAGACGACATCTTTGGTCGCTTCGATTGTCTGTGTATCTGGATGGAGAACTCTATATCCTCTTCCCTGATCACAGTATCCGACCAAGATCGCTTCCTTTCCACGGGGATCTAATTTCTTCCTTCCAGGCCTGTGTTAACGCACAAAACACTTAGATCCGAATGGGAAGAGCCTTGAGAGATGACCTTCTCGGTTGAGCATTGTCTCATAGGCGGTCTTATTGGTTCTCTCACAAATGGTGACCATATTGAGAACTTTAGGTGGCGATGCTTTCTGCCCAGAGTGACTTCGGAAGATTGGCCTCAATCAGAGATGACTTATTGTTAGCCAAATCAAGTGATGTGCGATTTGATTTTTCTGACGCTCCATTCTGTTGAGGCGTGTATGCACAGCTATAGCTCTGAGGCTCTGAGTAGCTCCAATCTCATCCAGAAGTGCTTTTACTCCAGCATTCTTGAATTCGCCTCCTTGGTCTGAATGGAAATTCTTCACATCCAAACCATTGTGATTACGGAACAATGCAAGATAATGTCATAGCGCGTCTACCGCCTCGCCCTTGGTCTTCAGGGAGTATGTTTCCCTGTAGTCGCTGTAATCGACGAGAATGCACATGAAATGCTTAGATCCTCCGAGAGACACCTCAGATGGAGAGCAAAGGTCACTATGGAGATAACCTTTGGATCGAGCCAATGCATTGATTTGTTTTGAATGATAACTTGCCCGATGCTGTTTTCCTTGGACACAGGAAAGACACACATCCATGTCGTCGTTGTATTCCAAGCCTTCTCTCTTGAGAGTGGTAATCACCTTTTTCTTGTTCAGATGCGCTAGCGTCTTATGAGCGAACATTAGGCAAACCATCGCTTGCCGTTTACAATGTGGGCGGATAAACCAGAATCCACCACAAACTGTTTTTTTTCACTCGTACTCAGGTTAGCGTATAGGGCAAGGAATGCTTCAGCATTATTAACGCTAACCTTTTTCTTCGGGCTTCTCTTCGCATGACAATTCCACTTTGTGTGACCTTTTCTCCCGCAATTATAACAGGTGATTTCAGCATCATTGGTCACGACATTGGTGGTCTGTCGGCGATTCCACCTGGAGTTCGGTCTCTCTCCTGAGCTTCCACTGAATCGAGTCTGTCGAAAACCGCGTTTCCAAGTTCTCATTCGTGAGAAGAGAGCTTCGGTGTGGTCGACGTTATTCTCGTTTCGTCGGGCAGACTCGGCGAGAATCATCTCGTAGAGAAGTGTTGGCAACTGCTGACTTTCCTTTTTCGCTTCAAGAAAGCTTCAATCCTTCCCAATCCGATGGCAAACTGTCTACCAACTTCGCACATTTGAGCGAGTTATCCATAGAGATATTCACATCAGACATGCGATTTAGAATTTGCTTGAATCTGCTGATATTTTTGCTCGCAGTTTCTGAAGTATTATATCTGAATGAGATGAAGCTAGTCATGATCTGATGCTTGAGAATACCAGATTGTTTTCGGAATTTGCCATGGATTGCTTTCCAGATTGTTGCTGCAGTTTGCGTTCCGATAGTCTTAAAGAACAGATCGAGAACTATGTTCGGGTGGACGGAATTTATGAGCATGGGTTTTGCAACGTTGTTTGCCTTGTTATATCTCCTCGTCTCGGCGGACCTTGCCTCGGCACTGGGATTTGAAATCCCTTCAGTGACGTCCCAACAATCAGTCTCTTGACGAAGATTGAACTCCATGACAGTTTTCCATGCAAGATAATTACTGCCATCTTCCGAAAGAATTATCGGGTTTGTAGTACGAAGACGACCAAGTATTGAATTCGTATCATCGGCGGGTCCTTTCTGATCGGCACTCGGAGGTTTACCACCTGCATTGTAGCCGTCAGACCCGGCCGTTCCAGCATCAATTGCTGAGGGCATTCCGGAGTCCCCTACGTAGAAAAATTTTCGAAGTTATACTCACTCGAGTTAATCGAGTCTGGTGTCCTTGCGTACCTCAGGAGTCGCTCGTGCTGATAACGCTATTAGATTTCGAAGGCTCAGGTTCCTGCTGCTAGCACAGTGGACTGAGGGTGGTTTTCTGGACACTGATACTTTACGGAATGACTGATACGAAAGAAACACACACGCTTGTAGTGGTGTTCAATGAGAGGGCAGAGCACCCAGGTCTGCGTAATCTTATCGGTACTCAGCAAGCTTTATTGGTGCTTATATATGGGCATGGAAAACCCTCACCCATCTGGATAAGTTCCAGGTATTGTGAAATATAATTGCTCTGCCGATTATAACTTCTGGAGTTTTGCTTAATTACAAGAACAAAAGAACTTGCTACGCAGTAGCCTTGAGATTCTGTGACGGACCGGGGAAAACTTAAAACTTGGTGCCAAACTGGCTCCATTCCAAACAAATCACGCACCTGGTTATCCGGAGATGCTGTACTCACGACTTTGATGAAGCTGACCGCCCGCGTCGGAAACTCGAATCTTCGCAATGAATTGTCAGCGCTGCGTTCTATGACTTCGATCCAATTTTCGTTATCTGTAGAGGTCTCGAGGTAGTAGGCGTATTGCTGTACGTATTCCTCTGGAAGCTGCATCTCGATGATGTTCACCGCGTTCGGCTGCGGCAATTGGAGGGAGATCGGCTCGCCACCGATTTCATGCTCGGTCCAGCCCGAACCAGCAAGATCGTCTGTGGACGTCCCACCAATCATCTCGTTGCGCCCTTTCGAGCATCGATCGATCAGAGCTCCTGACTTGAATGAAGCTACATTTTTCGCCGGGGCGTAGTACCCGTCAAAAGTAAAACCGACGAGCTCTATGTGAGATGCCTTGAATTCCGACAGGGCTCCGATTTCCGGTCTCGGAGAGGACTGACATTGGAGTCGAACAAACCGTACGATTTTCGGCTCGAAATACAGTTTTTGCAAATAGTGACGGAATCCATTGGGGCGATGGATGATACTGATCCAGTTTTCGAATTCGGTCGAGATCTCGACATTAAACCCGAAGTCCGCAGAATTACTATCGAATTGAAAGGATAGGTGATTCACGAAGTACGCTTTTTTAGCGCAACTGTGAACGCTCCTTGATCGGGAGTATCAATGAAGGAGTCATCCGTGGGCATGTCTCTGCTGGAGCACAGCACGTAGGATTCCGGGAAAGCGAAAAGGTCGGAGTCCACTCCTATAAGGAGCCTCTTAGCTCCGTGCTCACTCGTGGCCAGATTTTGCTCTTTTGTCAAGATACCCCTCATGGGCACATCTGCCGAGTGACTCTCCCGCATCTGGATGGCCTCAATCAAACGATCCGTCGTTATTAGTCACGAGTTTCTTTGTCGCGATGAGCGGTAGTCGGACTTGATTCAGAACTTCAGCCTGGTCTTCTTGGTCAGGATTCGTCTCACACCAACGAGCCACTGCCTTGAAAATATCGATCTCTTCCGCACAGAAGGAGTCGCGTGATAGAATCCGGCACTAGGTGCTTGCTTCTGAGGTCGAAAACGGATCACTCCCTAGAATTGCTCCAGGATTTTGATCCATCAAGTCGAAACAAGATTCTCGCAGGTGCTCAAGTTGAAGACGCGCGAGGGTCTCGTAGATCTCTAAGACTGTATCTGCTGACAGAATTCCTCCCAGGTTCTCGCGAATCGATGTTTCCATTTTCTGGAGCCAAGCATAGGACGTCCAAGCTGCTTTCAAGATCCATCGATTGCAGATCCAGCTGTCGAGCGTAGATGTACTTCAGCACAACCTTGAATGCTCTCACGGAAGCATTATCGAGAGTTATGACGCTCTCTGAGGCCTCCCTCAGACCTCCCAGGAGGAGAGCTCTGGAAGAGGAGAATAATTTTCGGTATCGATGGATTCCGATCACTCTCGGGAAGCGCGCTTGAATGAATGATTGATATAATGGGATCACATAAAATGATAGGGTCGTGTGAACGGATGCTAACGATGAGTAACAAGTTACCTTGGGATGAATCAAACATGCACCTACCTGAAGTATTCGCATGATGAAGCGAGGATGCTTTTGTGCGCGCACATAGATTCTGCCTCAGCGATTAAAGTGATGTCCGGGGCTCCCGTTTCGGACGTTATGGATCCGATCGATTCAAAGAGATCGCATAAATTATTCATTTCGAACTTCGTGATTGCAATCCGTCTGTTGTTTCAGGAAAAGAAGACATCCACGGCGACACCTGGTGGAATAATTCGAGAATTGAAGGAGAGTCGATATCAACAAAACATCGGATTGGAGCCGGAGGAGAGGATGCTTTCACGCGAGGAGACTCTCGGCAGGAACAGCAAAGCGCGATCAGACTTTGGGAAGAGCTTCGGCCCGACAGCGTCCCGGAGCTCAATGATGAATTTTGATACCTTCATCGAAGCCGAAATCCAGCATTCGGAAACAGCGGCTCCAGATTCCACCGAGGCGACGTCCTCTCTAGGCGCTCAGCAGTCACGAGTTTTTCTACTCAGGCCCACCGTAATATACTTCTACCAAAACTATAACTCTTTTTAGAGCAACTCAGCGATTGAAAGGTTCGCGAAAATGGTGACTCGCGATAAGTCTAACTCCCGTTTCACCGCTTTCCCGTTTCCCCGCTTTCCCGTTCCCCCGCTTTCCCGTTTCCGCGTTTCCCCACTTTCCCGTTTCCCCACTTTCCCGTTTACCCACTTTCCCGTTTCCCCGTTTTCCCGTTTCCCCGCTTTCCCGATACCCTGCTTTTCCGTATAGGGAAATGTCTTACTAAGCGAAAGTTCGATGCAGGACCCGTTGCCCACCCGCTCTGAGGGAACTTATTCTGAAGGAACTTGAGAAAGATTTTCCCCTGCTCTGAGGATACCTGATAACCGTTACCAACCCGCTTTGAGGGTTGTTTACTGTTCTGAAAATCCTGAAAATGATCCCCCACCCACAGAGAGGGCTCCAGAAAGCCGTCTTGTCTTCCACCCGTTCCGAAGGAGCCTGAAAACAATCTTGCACTCCAATAAACTTCACTAAGTTGATCTATATACATTAAAATGGAAGTCCACAGAAATCCCGTTGTGTCGTATGGAACAGAATGGGCGCTTCCCTCGTAACGTTCAAGCGTACCTACTCGGCTTTCGAGATCGTGATCTTTTGGTGCTCTCCGTCTCCGAGATGATTTCGAGCCGCTTCTAGTTTATGCCTGATCGAAGGAAGCGCCCATTCTGAAGGAGCCCTTCCACCCATTCCGAAGGAGCCAAAGAATCGAGATCAGGTATTCGTAGTGACTCATGAGCAGCATCGAGCATCATCATCCATCTTCGACAACAACGAAGTAAGGAAAAATCCATCGTCAACAACAACGAAGTAGGGAAAAATCCATCGTCAACAACAACGAAGTAGGGAAAAATCCATCGTCAACAACAACGAAGTAGGGAAAAATCCATCGTCAACAACAACGAAGTAGGGAAAAATCCATCGTCAACAACAACGAAGTAGGGAAAAAATCCATCGTCAACAACAACGAAGTAGGGAAAAATCACGTAAAATCGTTGAATGTGTAAAATCTAGAAGCGGCATCGTGGATCTCGTGTGCCGGGGAGGTACCAGGGAGACTTCTGAAGGTCCTCTTAAAATATCTAGAGTATGTGTTCAATATTAATAGAGTCCATACGACACAACGGGATTTCTGTGGACTTCCATTCTTATGTATATAGATTCACTCACTGGTTGCAGAGAGCAACCACGTACTTTTTCATGATCTAGAATTCGAACCCTCTGCGATTGTCTCTGAGGAACGCTTTGTATCTTGAAAACGACCGCTCGACTTCAAGCGACACGAAAGGCGCAGATTTAAATCGAGAGAGCTCGTCTGAAGAGAACGTTGCGCTCCGTGGTGCAGAGTTGTCGCTCACGTCACCTTGTAAGAGAAGGGCGATCGCTCTCAGTTCCTTGAGGCCCTCGTTCTTGTTGAAAACTCGGGACAGCTTGTCTCGATGAGGTTCACCGCGTCGACGAGCGGCATGTTCTTGGTTTCGAGCTCCTGGATGATTCGCGGCAGGGCGCCGAAAGTACTGCGGATGACCTTTTTCTTGATCAGATGCGCTAGCGTCTTATGAGCGAACATTGGGCTTATCTTGGGTGTCTTGGAACCGATGTCCAAATTGAGGCACTCACCACTCGGGGGTTTTTCTTCTATTTCATTAGAGGCTTTCAATATGTATAAATCGTTCGACCGGTCGGTTACAATTGATCCATCACCTTGAGAGATGGTGGGGCCTGTCGAGTCACATGTGACAACGTAACCATCGTCAGCTAACATACTGACGGAAATCAGATTTCTTCTCATTCTTTTCACAAAGAGAACGTTGTTGAGCTCAAGATCCAGCGCACGGTCATTTTTGCGAACAGTCAAACGGATTGTGCCTGATCCTTCTGCATGTAGAGAACCTGCTCCCCCCAATTTGACTTCTCGAGATGTCGCGAATTTCTCGTACATGACAAACCATCGCTTGCCATTTACAATGTGGGCGGATAAACCAGAATCCACCACAAACTGTTTTTTTTCACTCGTACTCAGGTTAGCGTATAGGGCAAGGAATGCTTCAGCATTATTAACGCTAACCTTTTTCTTCGGGCTTCTCTTCGCATGACAATCCCACTTTGGGTGACCTTTTCTCCCGCAATCATAACAGGTGATTTCAGTATCATTGGTCACGACATTGGTGGTCTGTCGGCGATTCCACTTGGAGTTCGGTCTCTTTCCTGAGCTTCCACTGAATCGAGTCTGTCGAAAACCGCGTTTCCTAATTCTCATTCGTGAGAAGAGAGCTTCGGTGTGGTCGACGTTATTCTCGTTTCGTCGGGCAGACTCGGCGAGAATCATCTCGTAGAGAAGTGTTGGCAACTGCTCACTTTCCTTTTTCGCACCCCAAGAAAGCTTCAATCCTTCCCAATCCGATGGCAAACTGTCTACCAATTTCGCACATTTAAGCGAATTATTCATTGAGATATTCACATCAGACATGCGATTTAGAATTTGCTTGAATCTGCTGATATTTTTGCTTGCAGTTTCTGAAGTATTATATCTGAATGAGATGAAGCTAGTCATGATCTGATGCTTGAGAATACCAGATTGTTTTTGGAATTTGCCATGGATTGCTTTCCTGATTGTTGCTGCAGTTTGCGTTCCGATAGTCTTGAAGAACAGATCGAGAACTATGTTCGGGTGGACGGAATTTATGAGCATGGGTTTTGCAACGTTGTTTGCCTTGTTATATCTCTTCGTCTCGGCAGACGTTGCCTCGGCACTGGGATTTAAAGTCCCTTCAGTGACGTCCCAACAATCAGTCTCTTGACGAAGATTGAACTCCATGACAGTTTTCCATGCAAGATAATTACTGCCATCTTCCGAAAGAATTATCGGGTTCGTAGTACGAAGACGACCAAGTATTGAATTCGTATCATCGG